GCCAAGGGAGCGTTGCGTGACGAGGTCCGCCTCTCTCTCCGCGGATTCCTTTCAAGGGGGTTCGAGTTACAAGATCTTGATTTTCAGCCTATTTGAAGCTGTGGGGGGGCTATCACGCAGATTTGTGTAAGATTCGCACAGCTTCATTCGGCATAAGACGCTTTGCCAAGTCGCGCTTCCATGTAGCATGCCGTAGCATCGCGCGAGATCAGCCACAGTGAAACAGTACCTCGAGCATGCTTTGCAAATAGACAAGAATGATAATCATGCCGGTAGCTTTGCGTCATGCTCGAACAGCCGCGAATCTTGCTAGCTTTATGTGCTTTGAAGGCCGATAGGCGCGTTTTGAGCGCAACTTACCATGAGACTAGACCCAGGGCCGATAAACAACCATCCTAACGTCACCACAATCCGGGAGCAATGCACGCCTGCCATGCCGCCACAGTAGGATATCGAAGGCTGTGAGGAAAGAATGGGTTTAGAAATCATGAGAGGATTAAGAAAAATTTCAGTTCTTGGTGTCTATAACGACGGCGCTAGACGCGTGATGCTCCGAGTTACCTATGATGCCCCCACGGCCAGATTCTGGCAGCCAACGCGGATGTGCCGAACAAGCTGTGGCGCTATGATACGTCTCCGAGGACGTCCAGCCCGCGCTGTTCTTTACGCCCTATAGAGTGACCGGTGCGGGCATGGCTGCGAGATAAAGTAGGGGTATTTCATCTTCGAGCTCCCACGTGGGATAGCCGTAGTCTCTCCACTTCACGCCTAGGTACACGTTACTACCCGCCGACTGGTGCATCCCGAAGATGGCTTCGATGCGATGGGTTGAGTCTATGTTGCTGATGTGCGGGCGAGCCTCAAAGTCTCGCCACAGTGTCAACTCTGTGCCGGTGTCCAAAACCCATAGGAGACTCTCCACATCCACCCAATCCCAGAGCTGATCCACAGCCTCGGCCCGAACGCCGTGGAATATATGGCTGGACACCCGAATGGTCAACAGGACTTCTAGAATGACGACCTCGGGCGACCACGTTGTCCGAACGTGGCGCCCGCGGTGATGTCGCTGCGGCGCGAGGACTTCCATCAGAACACTTTTGCACGTTTGCCACGTCGACGAGCGCAGAAGAGTGCTTTGACGTGCCAGAAGCACTAATTCAAGCAGCAGCGTTTACTTATATGATGCGCCTTTGCCCCAGTATGCGCTCGCGATGGTATACCAAGCCAACGGACAATTAAAGGAGGCGGTTGAACTTCTACAGCATGTTGTGGCGGTGGAAGAGAGGGTATTAGCGGAAGACGACCCTGATCGACTAGCATCGCAGCACGCACTTGCAAAGGCATACCAAGCCAACGGACAATTGAAGGAGGCGGTTGAACTTCTACAGCATGTTATGGCGGTGGAAGATAGGGTATTAGCAGAAGACGACCCGTCCCGGCTAGCATCGCAGTATGCGCTCGCGATGGCATACCAAGCCAACGGACAGGTAAAGGAGGCAGTTAAACTTCTGCAGCATGTTATGGCGGTGCGTGCGAGAGAGGGTATTAGGAGAAGACGACCCGGCCCGACTAGGATCGCAGTATTGGCTCGCAATAGTGTACCTAGTCAACGGACAGGGGAAAGAGGCGACTGGACTTCTGGCGCATGTTGTGGGGGCGATATTGCAGCAGATGTCATCCTTCCGGATCATCATCGTTTGCTGTTCAGTTGGGATGATTGGTCTTTTGGTGATATGGTGGACATTCAGGCTCAGGTAGATCGAGGTGGCGACGTTGCTCCTGCATATTCTAGGCAGATTACTCTGAGTATACGAACTGATTTCTTTAAGTTCCCAATCAACTGTTGTACAAAGCTTGCGACACTTCAACCAGGTCTTCCAACTCCCATTGACGATTAACTACTCCGGTTGACACCCACAATGTATCTCAGGGTCGTGGGTATCATCACCCTGGTGGAAAATTATGGACGCATTATCAAACTTGTGCGTCAAAAGGAGTATTCTTCGAGTGTGCGAGTCCGATATGAGTTTGCCATTAGTATCTTGCGGGCTCTCCCGTCCTGCCGTTGGCAAAGAACGTGGTAGCAAACATAGCTAAGTCACGTTATGAAATGTCTGCTTGATAGAAACGATGGAAAATGCACCTTCACCATATAAAGTCACGGAGTATGAGAGACATGCAGACGCAATGTCAATTCTGGCGAGATGTATGTGATCTTCGTCTGGCATGGGGGCCCGACAAGTATGTTTTGCTTCTCGCCATCCCCCGGATCCCGTCGATCCGGCCGTTGACCGCTCACAGTAGCCGGATGCAGTAGTCCGACACTTTTCACTAGTGCGAGGTCGCAGATCGGGAGCTGGTGGCTGTTTTTTGGCTACTGCGCCGCGGACAAGTGGACGAAATCCTTGGAGAGAGAGAGAAATGAGTCGATGTCGAGGAATGTTTTCGATGGCACGGTTCTCATTACTGCGCTCGAGCTCCAGAACCATGGAATGCTGACGCAGGTGGAAGCTGGAGGACATCGAAGACCCAGACCTTGTCGTCCAAGTGCAAGTCAGGAAGCAATGTGCGCTGGCAAGATTTCTTGTCAGCGTGGCCTGGCATTGTAGTCTTGGGGAGATACAAAGTGATACGCATTCGAAAGGGAACATGGCGCAGTCAAAACTTAAAGCCAAGTCAGCTGCACTATTCAAGGTAATATGCCGTCATGGGTGTCGTGCATGAAATGAAATGTGACCTTGGGGGACATGTGCAGGACCTGGGGGGCAAGTATCACTACACTTGATACTTCACCGCCACCCCGAAGCACGAAAAAGAAACGATCACGCTCATTACATGCAACCAAAGCCATCACACGGGATATAAAGACGTGTATACTGGGACAGGCTTGGTCAGAGTGCCTGGTCATATATGCCCAAAATGTTAAGGTATAGCGTTCACTTCGCTTTTCTGAGCTGCGATTTAGGCAGTTCCATGCAAATAAACCAGTAGGTCTTGACTACACCTGTTTCGATGTTGAAACGGACGGCCTCGGTAGAGAATAACACACTTCGAATTGATAAACATCACACCTCCCCGGATCTTATGCTCAGATATCCAACAGTACATACAAGACTCCGCAGAGGTTGGGGACAAACCTCTCGGCTTTATCCAAGATCCGACATGATTCCACTTATCCAAGGCTTGAGTTCACAAAGTCCCACAAGGATCTGGAATAATCAGAGTCGCACCGACTGGCTACTTCTTGCCAGCCCTGGAAGGAAACTCGACCCATGTTCCATCCTCGCGGACATGGACGCTGCACATGCGAGTTCCAGATTCGGTATGGTAGCTCACAGTAACAACATTTTGGGTCTCGCTCTTGTCTTTGCTAGACGGGTGCGGAGTTGTACCCCTATGGCGCGGCAATCAGCGACACACTGGACAATCGCCACGCAGTATGAACCGCTGGGGCTTACTTACTGGATTCGAGCTTCAGTCACACGAGCGTACTATGGGTCACATTTGTGTTAGTTTGGTGTTGCTCATGAACTCGGACTCAGGTAAATAGCTCTAACCTTTTGCTCAACGGCATTGCTGGCTGCCTCTACACCATCCGAGAAAACAGAACCAGCTGCTGTCTGGAGCTGGTCTAGAGAAACAGACTTGTACTTCACAAGACGGCTTGCTGTAGAACGCAACATATTGAAGTTTTCAAAAAGACAGAGAATGTAGCCTGAAATTTTAACAAGGCGTGCGAATGGGGATTGAAGTACGACGAAGACAGTAAGGTTAAAAAAAATGAAGCTCACTAATTAACGGCTGCTCGATGCTCTTTATAGATATTGTATTGAACTAGAATTGGGCAGGATTCAGACTTGTTAGGCTGCGTAACGCGTGGAGACACAAAGACACAACGACGCGGTTGGGTGCCTGAGCGCGTACTGCTGGGTGCGAAGTTTTTCGACTTTCTCCAAGGCTCAACCATGCAAAATCGCAAGCGGGTTGGCTGAAGCGGCTAATGAAGCCAGAAGATAAAATGTCTTTGTTGGTGATACATTTTGTTGTTGGTGATAACTTCCACCCAACGTGGTTCGCTCTATTGGTCCTTGTAGACTCTTTGTAGGTGCGACCGTTCAGGCAGCCAGGCGGATCTTCGGCGGCGTCAAACACCGAATAACGATTGATGGGCACCACCACTTGTCCACTATTAAGCGCTAAGGCAACCAGCCAAGTATTAGTCATTTGCGGGTCTCCCACAGGTCTCCCAGACGCGCGCGCCAGATCAATCAATCGAAGACTTCGAACTTCGAACCCGCATCCACCCTTGACGTTCGGCGCTTGCCTTCTTTCTGCTGCGTTTCTTCAACCTGCATCTCACTATGAAACGGACAATCCGCACACTTCAGTGTCGCCCTCGCATGTTGTTTCATCTGCAACGATCAGCCGCTTTTGTCTGTTCTTACAATTGCGGCCATCTAAGTGAAGCATCTCAACCGAGAGTCTGGCGGCGGAAAATGACGACCCCTTCGAGAAAGGAGAACTTCCATCGTGTGCCAGATGCGACGCCCATTGAAGAGGAGCTTCTTCCCGGGTACAAGGCGGAGGACTACTATCCCGTTACGATAGACCAGACCCTGAATTCGCGGTATCGCATCATCTGCAAACTTGGTCGTGGAGTTGGGTCGACGGTCTGGCTGGCCGAAGACGTGAAGTATGACAGCCCTGAGCCTCATTTTAATTCACATCATATCTTCAATCATCTTGCTGATGGAGTATCCAGAACCTCCCAATATGGAGCTGTAAAGGTCTGCACTCGGACTACAAATGGCGCAGTTCCCGCACAAGCCAGCCAAGAGATCGCCGTGGCTGAGTACCTCAAGACAGCTCTTGTCCGAGAGCACCCGGGTAGACGTGGCGTTCGCACAGCTCTAGACTCTTTCACTCTCAACGGTCCTCATGGGACTCATACGTGTCTTGTCTATGCGCCTCAGGGAATGACTTTCACTGAACTCCGCGAGTACTTACCCAGGAACAGGCTAGCGAAACGGATGCTGCAAACCAGCGTCCAAGTCCTTCTGATCGCGATAGATTATCTTCACCAAAATGGCGTTGTTCACACCGGTTAGTTCATATTCGCTGGTCCGGCGCCTGTAACGGTTCTAGCGGTTTCGGTTGTTTCTTGCTAACCCTAGTAGATATTTCTCCGAATAATATCCTTGTTGGCGCAACGGATGACACTCCATTCTCTCAACTAGAGAAGGACGAGCAGGCGCGCCCTGTCGCAAGGAAGGTTCTCTCCGATAGAACAATTTACATGTCGCGCCCAGTACCTCGGACCGACGGGCAGCTTATACTATCTGATATGGGCTCAGCAAGATTTGGCCAAGAGACTTTTAAGGGCGACATTATGCCCGACGTCTACAGAGCCCCGGAGGTTATACTAGGTATGGAGTGGTCCTCCAAAGTTGACCTGTGGTCGGTTGGGGTTATGCTAAGTTTCTGTCCTTCACGAACAGTGGTGTTCTACTAATATTAGTATAGATTTGGGATCTTTTGGAAGGCAAGCGACTGTTTCATGCGAAGAAGGATGGCGTTCTTAATGATGAACAACACTTGGCGGAAATGGTGTCTCTGATAGGCAACCCGCCGCCCGAGTTTTTGCGACGCAGTGAAATCTGCTCGAGCTTCTTCGACGATGCGGGTGAGCTTTGCCCTACCGCAGCATAATTTGCATACATCAACTAATACCTTATGATAGGCAATTGGAAAGGCTCCATTCCTATCCCGGACCAGTCCTTCGAAGATCGCATCACCCAGGTTCAAGGGGAGGATAAAGAGCTACTGCTTGGATTTGTGCGCAGCGTGCTTTGTTGGCTGCCCGAGAAGAGGCCGACAGCCGAGGAGATGGCATATGATGATTTTCTTATGCAAGCATACTTTGCCGCACAGTCGAAAGGTTAATACATGTGGAGGGAATAATACTACCAGACAGCTCATATACGTATTCTTCGATCCAACTGTTCGGGCAGAATGCCACGAGTCGGAGTCGCCCGTATTCACCGGGAGATCCAGCCACAACGCGGTTCATCTGCACGCACCGGCTGT